CCAACAATTACTAAATTCATACAAATTTATTGTGTAAAGGCTGAGTTGCCATGGCAATGCAGCTTATCAAGCAGAAAAGCAATTATTTTTAGCTTTTCAGCATGCAAATTTATTGTGACCTTTAGTTGTTGTTGCCCCAGTGAAAGAAACACAGAACGAGCTAGTAAAAATCCAGCGGGCGGGCTTAGCTGACTGCACAATGCTCGTTCAGTTCCATCTGAAAAGTGAGTGTGTGTCGTGATGCAACTAACATATTTACTAGCTCTACCTAAGCTAACTAACTCTACCTACCTCTAAAGTGTACAAATATCGAATTTCTTGTATATACCTAGGGGTTGTCATCCGTCTGCATTTACGGCGTAGAATAGATCGACTTGCACTCAAAGTAGAGACAATATCTATATATGTGACTTTGTCGAAGGAGCACGGTTGGTAGGTCTCCGGTAAAGCATTTGATAGGAAGGTTAATGCATTTCTTTACCAGTTTATTAAAAAAAAAAAAAAAAAAAATAATTCGCAGCAACCTTTCAGGCAGACTTTCTGACAGACGGTGCTAATTTTGATCTACCTTAAAAAAATACTAGAATTATACTATATTATATACTATTATATTATACTATACTATAACCATAGTAATGATTTTCAATGTCCTTAGTGGCCATGAACATATACATATTTGTTCCATATTTAAAAGATCTCAGCTTACGCTATTATTCTTGCGACTCTACCTTTACAATAATAATTGGAATGCACAGTTTTGCCGTTTTTCAAAGCCACTGAAGGCGTATGTATGGGGCATATTTGTTCGTTGAATTTCCGTACATATGTATTTATACTAGTTTGTTAACGATACAATAATAATATACAAGTCAAGGCTTTTAAAACTATCTTCAGATAATCGATTTTTTGTTATATTAGAAATATTTGCAACGGTCCTAATAGGCATAACCCAGAAATCTTAGGACTGCATACGAAGCAATTGCTTTTCCATACATACATATATTACATAAGGCAATACAAATTTCTAGCGGACAGACGCACATGGCCCAAAAGCCAATATACCCTTTACACTTTGCGAGCGTGTGTTATAATGTTAAAGGTTCTTAAAGTCGCAGTGATAAGACAATGGAAGTGCGCTGCTTGCAGAGGGTACGAATAGAGCTAAAGTAAAAATATACTTATATTTACATATATATGTAAATGTATATGTTTATACATATATATAATTTAGTTTTTCTTCCGCTTAAATTCACAGTGAAGTCGAGACCACAAAGTGGCCTTGTGCAGTCAGCGGTGCTGGCGGTGGATGAACTCAATGTTTAAGGTTTTGGAAATTAAGTGAGAAATTTGGAGTGCAACAACATCCAAGCGCAAAGGAGAGATGAGAAAAATTTAAGGCTGAGCAGTTGGCAAAAAATAGAAGAGAATAGAAAAATAATAGAGAAAATAACGACAGCAAAAAGCAAACGGCCTAAGGCAGTGCAGCTGCAATTTCTATAGCTGAACCAAATCTCAGTTGAGCCCTGAGCTGTGACGCCCACCGACAGCCACACCAACTGTGTCTCTCTCTCTATCTCTGTCTTTCTTGCTCTTTGTCCCTCTTTCTCTCCCTCGCTTGCTCTGTCTCGTTCTCAGCCTTTCGCTGTTGCATTAAAATTAAATAAAAATCAATTCGAGGAATTGCAATGGCAGTTACATCACCTACAACAGCCCGAAAGGATTCTCCTTAAAGCGGCTCTCGTGACGTTTGTCCTGCACCGCAGGACATTTGCCGCTCGGCTAAGCTATTGCTATTGCTGCTGCTGCTGCTGCCGCTGCTACAGCTTACACAATTCGGCATTGAATTTTGTTGCACTTTGCTCAATTCGTAGTTTGGCAATCCAAACCTCAAGTTCGGTTTATGTTTTGCTCAGTTGCACCGAGCACATACAGTCGACAAAAGGAATGAACGCTTTGAGCGGGTCAAGCCAACATTGAAATACCCTCACTTAACTGAGCTATCCGGAAGCATTTGTAGATCAAGTTTTTGAGATTCTGCGAATGTATTTAGATAACTCAACAAAATCTGAATCTAGTATTCATTTTTCAAGTAGAGAATAAAACCTTTAAGTAGCAATGATACCCATAGTATATATGGTATATGCTACCCATAATCTATGTCAATATACCCTGTGTAAAGCACATTGATGTTGTGAGAACTTGAAACACTTGTTGACATATAAACGGACAAAGTTCTCTTAGCTCCTAGTTGTTGTGTGACAGATTACATACATACATATGTATACAGCGAATAATTTTCTATACATATGTACATATGTCTCTTCGCTTCTACGTATTAATAGGAATTTTAGAAACCCCTCGTTAAGCCACAAATAGAGATGCTGAGAATTCTGCTATATAATTTCTTGTTTACAGTCAATTGGATTGGGTCGCTGGCAGCGCCCTCTGTTGGCGACAGCAACAACTACGAGTACAGCATACAAGCTGAACAACAATAATAATAAGGATAATCGCAATAACAATAAGGCATTCGCACAATACATGCCAGAACAGAGGGCGCCACACGGCTCGCCGCTCAGGCGTGTAATACCCTTCACATGACCAAATACCGTTTTTGACAGCTCATCACGTTTTATTGTCCCATTGCCTACTCACTCGCTGGCTCGCTCCCACTCTCCTTCTCTCTCTCTCTTTTTCTGTGTCTCTCCATCCGTTTCGTTGAAATTCATGTTGCCTTACCAATTGGTGTGTGTGTGTTGTGTATCAGTAATGCAATGGGCTGATTATATTGGCGTTGCATAATTTGTCAAGTTTGACACTTTATAAATCAATACCTAGGTGAGCTTATATGTGGTGGCAATAGACAACAAGACCATGAGACAAGACTATGAGATACTCTATAAAATGCAAATAATGAATAATGAATAATGAATGATGAATAATAAATAATGAATAATGAATAATGAATAATGAATAATGAATAATGAATAATGAATAATGAATAAT